ACTGGATTAAATTTAACCAATCAGTCAGTCAGTCAGATGCAACGTAGAACTTCGTACGTAAGTACACCAGTTCATGTTGCCATACCACATTATTAGCACACAGAGATGTAATTGTCAACTCAAATCCAATAGTAGAAGAGGTAGTAAGGGAATTAGAAGTAATCGGAGAGGTTAGGATTGGAAGATATTAATCAAGAAGTATGATTCAGTGAGAAAAATTTAAAAAGTCAAAACCAGAGGTGTTGAAGAATCCAGAAGATTAGGATTTGAGAGAACACAAAGCATAAATGCACCGGCACCACTGCAAACGGTTTTGAGCCATGTCATTCAAGGTCTCTAACCATCGATTATTATCATCTCGCGGACCCCAACCAGGTAGTCGACAACTACCGACATGGCTCAGTCCACTCGTCAATGACTTCATGGATTTCTGCCATGTTTTGGTCTGGCCTCCCCTAACTTTCTTCCAACCTACTCCTACACTACAAAACAAAGCTCGTCGAGGCAGTCGGTGGTTGAGCATACACAACACATGTCCGAACCACCTCAACTGATGAAGTTTCAACATTTCATCTATTGATCTGTCATCCTTACCTAGTACTCGTTTCCTAACGATAGCATTGCTTACTCGTTTGTCCCACCAATCAGCATGCAGCTAACAACAATACGAGAGTCTTCTCCTATTGTTCTCCAAGATTCGATCGGGCGCTGATTGGATAGGAAATTAGCCAATCAGCGTGCGGCAACGTAGTCATGCTTTAATTCCATCTATGTCTTACTAACAATTTAACTACATTAAATGTACTTTCTAACTAACTGATTTAAAGTTTTTTAATTTAAAACTATGTATTTATTTTATTATTGTTGTGTTGAAAAAAAAATAAAGGGTATGGTAGATGCTGGTGAGAATTATACTTCTACATTGAAAAGAGAATTTTCTGAAGAAGCATTAAATTCTACAACAACTTCACCGAAAGAATTAGAGGCAATCGTAAAACGTGTCGATGATGCTTTTCATCATGGAGTTGAGGTAAGTAATCAATAAGTATTGAGTATTGAGTATTTCTCTTTTTTTTCCCGCGCTTAAAAGGAGATGTGTGATGTTTTGACAGCTGTGGACAGAGAGGTCCTGCTCACTGCGTTCCCGTGACATCTATTGGATAGGGCTTAAAAGCAAGTATCATCTGGCATTTTAACCGAGTTAGTGGGTATGTAGGATCCGCCTAGTGGAGTTGGAAACTCACATTATAAACCAGTGCGGTTCACATGAGCTCCAGAATCCTGATGGAACGAATAGTGTATAAACCTGTTGTTAGTAGTTAAATACCATGAGAGGTGCCTTGTGGACTGGACCCTGAAGTCAAAGGCTCGAGGAGAGTAGCCTCTTAAAGAAATCACTCGCCGGTCAGTATCCTAGCGGCATATATCATTGTCAACTAACATCCAGAACTGAAGCCAGTTATCACTGACATTACATCGAATGATGCTTTCATCATATCGACCTGTAAAAAATATTATCCTCTCATGATAATGGTGAAACATGTAAGTCTTAGGTTGCTTCCTATGTTCAAACTGTAGAATAATGGTCTTCACATTCACGACCTCATGGAATAGAGAGCCTAAGTAGAACTTATACAATGACTAAGTCCAATCCTTAAGGCGTGCTCAACTTTCGTCCAGTAGCCTCAAAGTTCGAATCTCTTTCGACTAAGGAGTGGTATCAGTAGCCTTCATACTTAATGTTCATTTGACTAAGAACTGCACTGATTATTACAGCTATCGTTAAAAAATTCAACGAATTTATCTTTCAATCTGAGTCATTAGTAAACATATGACTATATTGTTTAAGATAAATGATTTGTAGAAATAGTCAGCTCAAGTTACTACACCATATAACCACAGAGAGATGCAATTATCAATTCAAATCTTATAGTAGTAAACGTTAAAGCAGTATAAGCAGTAATCGAAGATGTGTTTCGAGAAGTGTAATCCAATGAGGTAAATTTAGAAAGAGAAAGATTAAAGTGATTAAGAATTCTGGTATGCCAACCTGAACTTATGTATGAACGTACGAAGTTCTACGTTGTAACTGACTGACCTGTTGATTAGGAATTCCCAAGATTATAATTTGAGAGAACACAAGGGATGGACGCATCTGCGCCATTACAAACGATTTAGAGCTATATTATTCAAGATCTCTAACCATCGGTGACTTTCGTCTCGCGGACCCCAACCAGGTAGCCAGTATCTGCAGCGATGTTGACCGTGGAAAGGGGTAAGAAAAGATCGACCCTAAAAATATTACCTATACACTTTGGCCTATCGTAGAATATAGACACACTTCTCGACGTCCAACAATAAGTTGTATTCCTTGACCTTAAGGCGGCGTTTGTCTCTGTTGATCATCGGGTTCTGTAGCAGTGATTGTCATTGGAAGGAGTACCAAATAAGTACACTACCATTATAGTTAGGCTCTCTACTTCAATACTACTGGTAGAGTCGAATCTTATGGCGAACTGTTATCGAAATTGACCACTTCAAATGGTGTTTCTCAGCGCTGCCTGTTTTCAACATTCATTTTTACCTTTGCGATTGACATTGACTTTGAGGATAAAACTTTCACCATATGACTATTATTGAGGAGATTCATTTGATAGCTTAGAATATGTACATCACATAGTTGTGTTTGGTGAAGATGCTGACAATTACCTAAAATAAACTCGTCCAACCAAATCCGTATTTAGCTACTTATTACAATCGTCACACAAATGGAGTGCATAGTTAATTAATTGTTGATAAATATTGGAGTCAATACGTGAGTCACTAAAATGATGAGTCCTACGTTGAAATTAACGTAGCCACCAATATATATTAGAGTCTTTTTGGGGCACAGTTTTGGAGGTTTGCGATTTTTTACACATTTGAAATCATCATCAATCAATCATTGTTAGACCACCATTAGAAACCTGGAAGCACTGGACGGTGGTTAGGCGTCCGCGTACAATGCCAAAGGTCTCGGGTTCGAATCCTGCGAGGAGCAGGAGTCGTGGATGCGCACTGCTGATGAGGAGTTCCATACCAGGACGAAACGGCCGTCCAGTGCTTGTATTTTTCTAATAGTGCTGGTCTAACAATGATTGATTGATTAATGATTTCAAATGTGTAAAAAATATATTAGAGTAAGTTTTATTTTCAAAAAAAACAAGAAATTTTTTTAAGAATTGATTTTTTTTTCTCTGTGTTTAGACAAAAGTTCATCATTTATCTTACATATCTATCTATCTATCTACATATTTAAAAGTGTGCATAGAAAATAGTAGTACTACGTGTACTAATATGTATTATTATTCATTACTAACTAAACAGTACTTTATATAGTACTTTAATATAGTACTTACTGTTTTTAAGTAAAACCCACAAACAAAACAGTAAATAACGTTGTCTGTTTGCCTTTGCTTTGCTTTGCGCTGCTTGCTGTATCGAATGATCGTTGAATGATCACATTGTTAAAAAAAATATTTGTTAGTTGCTTGGTTGTGTGTGTGCGTGTGCGCGCGCGCAATTTATGAATTCTTTGTCTTTGTATAAAGTTGAAATTCATCTGTTTAATGTTGCTTAATAGTTGATAGTTGATAAAAAAATTGTTTTCAACATTGAAACAAACAAGAATTCATTGTTGAAATCATGAATCATCAGTAATTAGAAACTTGGAAGCATTTAAAAGCGGCTGTTTCGTCCTATAGTATGAGACTACACTCATCCGTAGTGACAGTGTGCAGTCATGACTCTTGCTACTTGCACAGGATTCGAACCCAGGAACTTCGGTCTCGTGCCGGTGGGTGTTTAGCGTCTGAACCACTGAACTGACCGGCAGGCATCCGGTGAAGTATTGAAACTTCATCAGTTGAGGTGGTTGGGACATGTGTTACGCATGCCTAACCACCGACTGCCTCGACGAGCTATGCCTTGCGATGTAGGAACAGGATGGACGGAAGCTAAGGGTGGTTGAACCAAAACATGGCAGAAATCCATGAAGTCATTGACAAGTGGACTGAGTCATGTTGGTAGATGTAGGCTTCCTAGTTGTGGTCTGCGAGATGGTAGTAACCAATGGTTAGAGACCCTGAATGACTTGGCTCAAGACCGTTCGCAATGGCGCAGGTGCATTCATTCTTTGTGTTCTCTCAAATACTAATCTTCTAAATTCCTCATGACCTTTTTTTAAAATAATGTCGGCTTATACTTCTGGAACCATATCTTCGACCTCTAATATTCTTCATTATTGCTAATACTTCTACTACTATGGGATTTGAATTGACAATTGCATCTCTGTGTGTTAATATGAAATGACAATTTGAATTGATGTACGCACGAAGTTCTACATCATAGCTGATTGATTGATTTGTTGTGTATTCATCCTTCCAACATAAAAAATATGTATAGTCTTGTGTTGTTACGAGTATGAGAGCGGATGTCACTTCCCGACTGCCCACACTGTGGAAGGGTATTTCTTGAGAAACCTAATTAATGTTGGTCTTAGCGAACTGGTGGCGTGACCACAGATCTCAAGGGACAACTGCTTGAGGCCGGTCATGCACGACTTTTTAGTAATAAGGTTGAGGTGTTAACTCTGCTCCTCAAATGGCCTAACAACTGGGTCCGGAAATCTGTTAGGTAAAGTGAGATGTAACATTTCTAGGATCGACATTTTCTAACCCATTCCTGTTTGTTCGAGGGAAACACCTTACTGCTGTCATACCTCTCTTAAGTCAGCAGTACGACTTCGCCCTCAGATCTTGTGAGTTACTGCTTTTAGTCTCACACCGTTCTCCAATCGACCTGCCTTGTATAGTAGAACCTACGGGAACATATGTTCCAGTCAATATAGCTCGGTTGGGTCATCACGATAGGCAAGCCCGACGACCACGTCAAGGTAGCAGCTACGGTCGGGATTTAAATTGACAATTACATCTCTGTGCTGATGTGGTTTGGCGACATGAACTGATGTACTTACGTACGAAGTTCTACGTTGCATCTGACTGACTTTCCTTCCTTGTCTTATCATGCATGACACAGGATATAATCAATCAAATTATTGTTGTTCCAATATTAATAATAATAATAATAATTTTCAATTTTTTCTAACCTTTCAATAAAAAATTATACTTTTGTTAATTAAGATTTACAAAGGTTACGTAGATGATCCACGCAATACAGACAATGCATGGATGGAAACGGTAGCAGTGAATTTTCACGATGATCACGGTGATTGTTTAGCGCTGTTCCCGCTGACTGCAGGTACATAATCATTTCATGTCATGTCATCCTGTTTTGTTTTAACAAACTTGTCTAATGCTGTCCTCTCTCTCTCGTGCGCCCGCAATAGATTAGGAGTTGTTGACTGGTTGAAATACTCCCATGTTTCTCTTCCTCGTTCACACTACCCAGCTGTTAAGCTTGTCAATGGATATGCTTGAATGTTATAACTAGTTCATCTTGGTCGGTAAACGAGAGTGAAGACAAATAATCCAATGACCGGATAGGCTACTGTAATCCAAGCCTCCCAATGCCCTACCAAGTAGAGGAAGAAGTTTTGACAAGACATAGAAAGTGTATTCTATAAGCACCCGAAAAATATGAGGTTTCTTCAAGCATACAAATCGAGTTTATTTATATATGTATGATAGGAGCATCCTTGGGAGAGCCACTAAAATAACACATCAATCAACAACAGTCAAGGATTTCCCGGGTGGGGAATCTAATCTCAAGGTCAACTGATCAGCCCATGCGCTGAAGCATAGTCCAAAATTAGGACCTTTATCAAGCCGCCTATAATGAGTTAGCATTCTTATTGATAAATGTAAGATTCTAAGTCAATCATAAGCGGCCGAATGAAAAAAAAACTCACTTAATAATGACAATTAGAAATGTCCTAGTGGAATGAATGAACATTATTGGTTAAAAAATAGATTCATTTTCTAACGAGGTATATATATATATATATATATATATACGCCTTGTATTCTTATGCCTGTCTACGCTAACAATTACCTAAAATAAACTCGTCCAACCAAATCCGTATTAATAATTAATACGGATTTGGTTGGACGAGTTTATTTTAGGTAATTGTTAGCGTAGACAGGCATAAGAATACAAGGCGTATATATATATATATATATATATATACCTCGTTAGAAAATGAATCTATTTTTTAACCAATAATGTTCATTCATTCCACTAGGACATTTCTAATTGTCATTATTAAGTGAGTTTTTTTTTCATTCGGCCGCTTATGATTGACTTAGAATCTTACATTTATCAATAAGAATGCTAACTCATTATAGGCGGCTTGATAAAGGTCCTAATTTTGGACTATGCTTCAGCGCATGGGCTGATCAGTTGACCTTGAGATTAGATTCCCCACCCGGGAAATCCTTGAGTGTTGTTGATTGATGTGTTATTTTAGTGGCTCTCCCAAGGATGCTCCTATCATACATATATAAATAAACTCGATTTGTATGCTTGAAGAAACCTCATATTTTTCGGGTGCTTATAGAATACACTTTCTATGTCTTGTCAAAACTTCTTCCTCTACTTGGTAGGGCATTGGGAGGCTTGGATTACAGGTAGCCTATCCGGTCATTGGATTATTTGTCTTCACTCTCGTTTACCGACCAAGATGAACTAGTTATAACATTCAAGCATATCCATTGACAAGCTTAACAGCTGGGTAGTGTGAACGAGGAAGAGAAACATGGGAGTATTTCAACCAGTCAACAACTCCTAATCTATTGCGGGCGCACGAGAGAGAGAGGACAGCATTAGACAAGTTTGTTAAAACAAAACAGGATGACATGACATGAAATGATTATGTACCTGCAGTCAGCGGGAACAGCGCTAAACAATCACCGTGATCATCGTGAAAATTCACTGCTACCGTTTCCATCCATGCATTGTCTGTATTGCGTGGATCATCTACGTAACCTTTGTAAATCTTAATTAACAAAAGTATAATTTTTTATTGAAAGGTTAGAAAAAATTGAAAATTATTATTATTATTATTAATATTGGAACAACAATAATTTGATTGATTATATCCTGTGTCATGCATGATAAGACAAGGAAGGAAAGTCAGTCAGATGCAACGTAGAACTTCATACGTAAGTAAATCAGTTCATGTCTCCATACCACGTCAGCACAGAGATGTAATTGTCAATTCAAATCCCGACCGTAGCTGCTACCTTGACGTGGTGGTCGGGCTTGCCTATCGTGATGATCCGACCGAGCTATACTGGCTGGGACATATATTCCTGAAGGTTCTACCATGCCAGGCAGGTCGATTGGAGAACGGTGTGAGACTAAAAGCAGTAACTCACAAGATCTGAGGGCGAAGTCGTACTGCTGACTTAAGAGAGGTATGACAGCAGTAAGGTGTTTCCCTCGAACAAACAGGAATGGGTTAGAAAATGTCGATCCTAGAAATGTTACATCTCACTTTACCTAACAGATTTCCGGACCCAGTTGTTAGGCCATTTGAGGAGCAGAGTTAACACCTCAACCTTATTACTAAAAAGTCGTGCATGACCGGCCTCAAGCAGTTGTCCCTTGAGATCTGTGGTCACGCCACCAGTTCGCTAAGACCAACATTAATTAGGTTTCTCAAGAAATACCCTTCCACAGTGTGGGCAGTCGGGAAGTGACATCCGCTCTCATACTCGTAACAACACAAGACTATACATATTTTTTATGTTGGAAGGATGAATACACAACAAATCAATCAATCAGCTATGATGTAGAACTTCGTGCGTACATCAATTCAAATTGTCATTTCATATTAACACACAGAGATGCAATTGTCAATTCAAATCCCATAGTAGTAGAAGTATTAGCAATAATGAAGAATATTAGAGGTCGAAGATATGGTTCCAGAAGTATAAGCCGACATTATTTTAAAAAAAGGTCATGAGGAATTTAGAAGATTAGTATTTGAGAGAACACAAAGAATGAATGCACCTGCGCCATTGCGAACGGTCTTGAGCCAAGTCATTCAGGGTCTCTAACCATTGGTTACTACCATCTCGCAGACCACAACTAGGAAGCCTACATCTACCAACATGACTCAGTCCACTTGTCAATGGACTTCATGGATTTCTGCCATGTTTTGGTTCAACCACCCTTAGCTTCCGTCCATCCTGTTCCTACATCGCAAGGCATAGCTCGGCGAGGCAGTCGGTGGTTAGGCATGCGTAACACATGTCCCAACCACCTCAACTGATGAAGTTTCAATACTTCACGGGATGCCTGCCGGTCAGTTCAGTGGTTCAGACGCTAAACACCCACCGGCACGAGACCGAAGTTCCTGGGTTCGAATCCTGTGCAAGTAGCAAGAGTCATGACTGCACACTGTCACTACGGATGAGTGTAGTCTCATACTATAGGACGAAACAGCCGCTTTTAAATGCTTCCAAGTTTCTAATTACTGATGATTCATGATTTCAACAATGAATTCTTGTTTGTTTCAATGTTGAAAACAATTTTTTTATCAACTATCAACTATTAAGCAACATTAAACAGATGAATTTCAACTTTATACAAAGACAAAGAATTCATAAATTGCGCGCGCGCACACGCACACACACAACCAAGCAACTAACAAATATTTTTTTTAACAATGTGATCATTCAACGATCATTCGATACAGCAAGCAGCGCAAAGCAAAGCAAAGGCAAACAGACAACGTTATTTACTGTTTTGTTTGTGGGTTTTACTTAAAAACAGTAAGTACTATATTAAAGTACTATATAAAGTACTGTTTAGTTAGTAATGAATAATAATACATATTAGTACACGTAGTACTACTATTTTCTATGCACACTTTTAAATATGTAGATAGATAGATAGATATGTAAGATAAATGATGAACTTTTGTCTAAACACAGAGAAAAAAAAATCAATTCTTAAAAAAATTTCTTGTTTTTTTTGAAAATAAAACTTACTCTAATATATTTTTTACACATTTGAAATCATCAATCAATCATTGTTAGACCAGCACTATTAGAAAAATACAAGCACTGGACGGCCGTTTCGTCCTGGTATGGAACTCTTCAGCAGTGCGCATCTACGAATCCTGCACCTCGCAGGATTCGAACCCGGGACCTTTGGCATTGTGGGCGAACGCCTTACAGGACGAAACAGCCGTCCAGTGCTTCCAGGTTTCTAATGGTGGTCTAACAATGATTGCTTGATGATTTCAAATGTGTAAAAAACGCAAACCTCCAAAACTGTGCCCCAAAAAGACTCTAATATATATTGGTGGCTACGTTAATTTCAACGTAGGACTCATCATTTTAGTGACTCACGTATTGACTCCAATATTTATCAACAATTAATTAACTATGCACTCCATTTGTGTGACGATTGTAATAAGTAGCTAAGTACGGATTCGGTTGGACGAGTTTATTTTAGGTAATTGTCAGCATCTTCACCAAACACAACTATGTGATGTACATATTCTAAGCTATCAAATGAATCTCCTCAATAATAGTCATATGGTGAAAGTTTTATCCTCAAAGTCAATGTCAATCGCAAAGGTAAAAATGAATGTTGAAAACAGGCAGCGCTGAGAAACACCATTTGAAGTGGTCAATTTCGATAACAGTTCGCCATAAGATTCGACTCTACCAGTAGTATTGAAGTAGAGAGCCTAACTATAATGGTAGTGTACTTATTTGGTACTCCTTCCAATGACAATCACTGCTACAGAACCCGATGATCAACAGAGACAAACGCCGCCTTAAGGTCAAGGAATACAACTTATTGTTGGACGTCGAGAAGTGTGTCTATATTCTACGATAGGCCAAAGTGTATAGGTAATATTTTTAGGGTCGATCTTTTCTTACCCCTTTCCACGGTCAACATCGCTGCAGATACTGGCTACCTGGTTGGGGTCCGCGAGACGAAAGTCACCGATGGTTAGAGATCTTGAATAATATAGCTCTAAATCGTTTGTAATGGCGCAGATGCGTCCATCCCTTGTGTTCTCTCAAATTATAATCTTGGGAATTCCTAATCAACAGGTCAGTCAGTTACAACGTAGAACTTCGTACGTTCATACATAAGTTCAGGTTGGCATACCAGAATTCTTAATCACTTTAATCTTTCTCTTTCTAAATTTACCTCATTGGATTACACTTCTCGAAACACATCTTCGATTACTGCTTATACTGCTTTAACGTTTACTACTATAAGATTTGAATTGATAATTGCATCTCTCTGTGGTTATATGGTGTAGTAACTTGAGCTGACTATTTCTACAAATCATTTATCTTAAACAATATAGTCATATGTTTACTAATGACTCAGATTGAAAGATAAATTCGTTGAATTTTTTAACGATAGCTGTAATAATCAGTGCAGTTCTTAGTCAAATGAACATTAAGTATGAAGGCTACTGATACCACTCCTTAGTCGAAAGAGATTCGAACTTTGAGGCTACTGGACGAAAGTTGAGCACGCCTTAAGGATTGGACTTAGTCATTGTATAAGTTCTACTTAGGCTCTCTATTCCATGAGGTCGTGAATGTGAAGACCATTATTCTACAGTTTGAACATAGGAAGCAACCTAAGACTTACATGTTTCACCATTATCATGAGAGGATAATATTTTTTACAGGTCGATATGATGAAAGCATCATTCGATGTAATGTCAGTGATAACTGGCTTCAGTTCTGGATGTTAGTTGACAATGATATATGCCGCTAGGATACTGACCGGCGAGTGATTTCTTTAAGAGGCTACTCTCCTCGAGCCTTTGACTTCAGGGTCCAGTCCACAAGGCACCTCTCATGGTATTTAACTACTAACAACAGGTTTATACACTATTCGTTCCATCAGGATTCTGGAGCTCATGTGAACCGCACTGGTTTATAATGTGAGTTTCCAACTCCACTAGGCGGATCCTACATACCCACTAACTCGGTTAAAATGCCAGATGATACTTGCTTTTAAGCCCTATCCAATAGATGTCACGGGAACGCAGTGAGCAGGACCTCTCTGTCCACAGCTGTCAAAACATCACACATCTCCTTTTAAGCGCGGGAAAAAAAAGAGAAATACTCAATACTCAATACTTATTGATTACTTACCTCAACTCCATGATGAAAAGCATCATCGACACGTTTTACGATTGCCTCTAATTCTTTCGGTGAAGTTGTTGTAGAATTTAATGCTTCTTCAGAAAATTCTCTTTTCAATGTAGAAGTATAATTCTCACCAGCATCTACCATACCCTTTATTTTTTTTTCAACACAACAATAATAAAATAAATACATAGTTTTAAATTAAAAAACTTTAAATCAGTTAGTTAGAAAGTACATTTAATGTAGTTAAATTGTTAGTAAGACATAGATGGAATTAAAGCATGACTACGTTGCCGCACGCTGATTGGCTAATTTCCTATCCAATCAGCGCCCGATCGAATCTTGGAGAACAATAGGAGAAGACTCTCGTATTGTTGTTAGCTGCATGCTGATGGGTGGGACAACCGAGTAAGCAATGCTGTCGTTAGGAAACGAGTACTAGGTAAGGATGGCAGATCAATAGATGAAGTGGTGAAACTTCATCAGTTGAGGTGGTTCGGACATGTGTTGCGTATGCCGAACCACCGACTGCCTCGACGAACTTTGTTTTGTAGTGTAGGAGTAGGTTGGAAGAAAGTTAGGGGCGGCCAGACCAAAACATGGCAGAAATCCATGAAGTCATTGACGAGTGGACTGAGCCATGTCGGTAATTGTCGACTACCTGGTTGGGGTCCGCGAGATGATAATAATCGATGGTTAGAGACCTTGAATGACATGGCTCAAAACCGTTTGCAGTGGCGCCGGTGCATTCATTCTTTGTGTTCTCTCAAATCCTAATCTTCTGAGTTCTTCAACACCTCTAGTTTCGACTCTCTAAACTTTTCTCACTGAATCATACTTCGTGAATAGTATCTTCTAACCCTAACCTCTCCGGTTACTTCTAATTCCCTTACTACCTCTACAACTATTGGATTTGAATTGACGATTACTTATCTGTGCTGATATGGTATGGCAACATGAACTGATGTACTTATGTACAAAGTTCTACGTTGCATCTGACTGACTGGCTGATTGGTTAAATCTAATCCAGTCGATCACGTGAATTACTTACTATCCAGAAGCATTCTCATGTAAATGCTATAAATAGACTAACGTTGTATCTATTTTTGGCCTACTTTGCCTTCTTGGCCTTCGGCCATCACCTCCGGCTTCTTATTCCTTGCTATTTTGGAATATAATCTTTTCCTGTTCAACCGTGTTTTTTGATTCTTGGGAACTTGTTCAGTGTATTTTGTGGTCAGAGAATACTAAGAAATAGGATTTAGCTGGAAAATATATTAAAGCAAGCGTTACAACATAAATATTCGAACATTATTTTAATAAGTGAATGAACATTGGTGACATTTGGGGGGCATAACCGAATTGATCTCATATGTTGTTACAGGTATGAGGGTGGATGTCAATCCCCTAGACCGCGGAATGGCTTTTCTTGAGGAATCTGAAAAGGAAATCGGATTAGCGTGATTGCAGAGCCTAAGCGATAACTGTTTGAAGTCAGTCACGCATGATCTTTTCATGTGAAGTTTTGGAAGTGTTACCTCTGCTCTCTAAATAGCCTTACCGTGGGAGACGGAAATCCGGAAGATTAGGTGAGGTGTGACAATGTTACGGTCAACTTTTTCTTCTAACACCTTGTTACGCCTGCACGTAAACACGTCAACTTGATATACTTGAACTATAACGAGTTTACCTAGTCGGAAACGAGAGCGAGGATCCGGTGACACGACATGTTACTCAAATCCGATTATTACAACCCCCATATTTAGTTAAAATAAGAAGACATGATATGAAGTAGAAAGTGTATTCTACAAGCATCCAGAAAGCACGAGGTCCGAATTCAGAAGAGAATCAGGATCTCGGACTAGGGATCTGGGACCGAGCCCTGGTCCTGGTCGTGGTCAATAAACGTTACAGATAATGCGTATTTATACATTTTGGTCGAATAGGAAACAGCATCGAATTCTGTGGCATTGATAGTTAAGACGACCAATAGGAAGTAACATTTGAAGTGACATTGATAGTCAGGACAACCAATAAGAAAGAACATTGAAGTATTTGACTTTGACAGTTATAACGACCATAATTTTGACCAATAGAAATCGACCAATAATTCTCTTAGGATATTGGATGAATATTCTAACACACCTTTCTTCTGTTGTGAGAAGGCAGCATCGCTGCAGATGCTGATTGTTGTCCGAGGGAAACACTTTACTGCTGTCACACCCCTCTGCATTCAGTCAGCAGTACGACTTCACCCTCAGACCTTGAGTAGCTGCTTTAAGTCTCATCGTTCTCCAATCGACCTTCCTGGCATGGTAGAACCATTAGGAACATATGTTCCAGCCAATATAGCTCGGTTGGATCATCACGATAAGCAAGCCCGACGACCACTAACACGTCAAGGTAGCAGCTACGATCGGGGTGACATCATCATAACTGTAAGATGGATGACATTCACAGCAGTGTAAAAAAAAAACGCTTGATTATATATATTTACAGAAATTTACAAAAAAAACTATCATTGAACAACACAACTTACACCAGGAATAGCCCATTGACCAGAATCTTTACGACGAATAGAAACAAATTGAAGAATTGGACGTTTAGTGGTTGGATTTAATATTCGATTGCTTGAATTGTCAATTTTCCATCTAAAAAATTAATTTTTTATTTTTCAGAAAATGAATTAATTTTGTAAAAAATACATCAAGTATATGGATTGATTGATACACAATCGAACGTCTGACATTATTAGTTGTAGTCATAGGCTTGAAGGCGGTGGTATTTAACTGCATGGATGATCATAAGGAATGTTCTATGACAATGTATATCATTGAAAGGATTGGGTTGCATCGGCACCTGAACTAGTAGAGATAGGGAGTGAAGTAGTCGAACGTGTAGACAGACCGCTTCACTTATCATGGGAGTCTCATCAGTGCTGATAGCCTGGTGACTGATGAAATCTCAGCTCGGATACAGAAGGATCGATTGGCTTTTGTCAACCTGAGTCACTTATGGCGTAGGCGAGATATCCATTTGCTGACTAAAGGACGAGTGTACTGAGTAGTAGTTCGATCCGTCTTACTTTATGGCTGTGAAACATGGCCAGTGAGAGTAGAAGATATTCGTAGGTTATTAGTATTCGATCACAGATGTTTAAGAAGCATTGCTCGTATATCCTGAGACACCCGAGTGAGCAACGCTGTTATTAGGAAACGGGTGCTAGGTAAGGATGGCAGATCAATAGATGAAGTAATGAAACTTCATCAGTTGAGGTGGTTGGGACATGTGTTGCGTATGCCTAACCACCTACTGCCTCGAAGAGCTTTGTTTTGTAGTGTAGGAATAGGTTGGAAGAAGGCTAGAGGAGGCCAGACCAAAACATGGCAGAAATGCATGAAGTCATTGACTAGTGGACTGAGCCATGTCGGTAATTGTCGACTACCTGGTTAAGGTCCGCGAGATCATAATAATCGATGGTTAGAGACCCTGAATGACATGGCTCAAAACCGTTTGCAATGGCGCCGGTGCATTTTTTCTTTGTGTTCTCTCAAATCCTAATCTTCTGGATTCTTCAACACCTCTAGTTTTGACTTTCTAAACTTTTCTCACTGACTCATACTTCTTGAATAATATCTTCTCATCCCGACCTCTGCGATTACTTCTAATACCTTTACTACCTCTACTACTATTGGATTTGAATTGACAATTACATCTCTGTGCTGATGTGGTATGGCAACATGAACTGATGTCCTTACGTACGAAGTTCTACGTTGCATCTGACTGACTGAGTACCAAAGAAGTTATCATCAACAGCAACGTAGAACTTCGTACGTGTTGGGGATGTTAGATCCCTAGGACTCGCTTGATAAATGTCTTTGTTTTGGATTTTATTCATGGTCTGATCGATTGACCTTGAGATCACATTTCCAACCAGGAAAAGCCTTGTCTGTGATTAGTTACTGTGTTATTTTAGTGTGTAATTTTTGTGAATCTCCCAAAGACGTTTCTATGATGTATAAATAAACTAGATTTGTGTGTTGGCTGGGTGTTTGTAGAATACGCTTTCTATGCTATATCAAGACTATTCTTTAGTATTTTTAAGTCAACGGATCAGAGTAGCCTACCTGGACGCTGGTTCATTATCTCGTTCTCGTTTATCGGCCAAGGTGAACCCGTAGTAGTTTTAAGCATACCTAGTGACGAGTGTAACAGTACGTACGTACATCAGTTCAAATTGCCATATCACATTAGCACAGAAATATAATTACACATTTTTGAAACCATGAACCGATCAATGTTAGACCACCATTAGAAACCTGGAAGCACTGGACGGCCGTTTCGTCCTGGTATGGGACTCCTCAGCAGTGCGCATCCACGACTCCTGCACCCCGCAGGATTCGAACCCAGGACCTTCAGTATTGTGCGCGAACGCCCTAACCGACAGACCACTGAGCCGGTATCTAATGGTGTTAATGTCAATTCAAATCCCATAGCAGTAGAGGTAATAGAAGTATTAACAATAATCGGAGAGGTTAGGGTTCGGAGATATTATTCAAGAAGTATAATTCAGTGAGGTAAATTTAGAAAGAGAAAGATAGAGGTGATAAAGAATTCAGAAGGTTAGGACTTGAGAGAAAATACAAGAATGTATGAACTTGAACCATTGCAAACGGTACCAAAGAAGTACATCAACACTATACAAGCTCTCTACTCGAACACTACTGGTCTAGTTCGAGTTTATGGCAAACTGTCATCAGAAGTGATTACTTTAAGTGGTGTTAGTCAGGGTGGTCCACTTTCTCCACGTGACTTGCTTGTTAACTTAGAATATGCAGATGACCAACCTTCGTCACTAGGCATGCTTGAAACTATTACGGGTTCATGTTAGTCGATAAACGAGAACGAGATAATGAACCAGCGTTCAGGTAGGCCTACCTGATACGATGACTAACCAAAAAGTCTTGATATAGCGTAGAAAGTATATTCTACAAACACACAGCAAGCACAATGCATTCAAGAACACAAATCTCATTTATTGATACATCATAGAAACGTCCTTGGGACAGTTACAAAAATAGCACACTAAAATACACAGCAGCCAATCAAAGCCAAGGATTTTCCTGGTGGGGAATCAAAATTCAAGGTCAACTGATCAACCCATGCTCGCACACGTGATATCCAAAATTAAGGCACTTATCAAGCGGGTGACCATAGTGCTTGTGAATTAAATGGCAGAGCAACGCATGAAAGAAACCATTGAGCTATGTGAACCAATAGGAATTCAGAGCTGACTCAAGGTTATTAATGGCGCTGAACACGTGAATCTGATTGGGTGATTTTTTCCTTTTGATTTGTCACGTGATATTATTGAATGACTAAGAGGGATGTAAGGCATTTTCAAAAAAGAACAAAAATTTCTTCTCATCTAATCATGCATATAAATGTCAAAATGATTAAAAGTTTTGAAGTTTGTTTTAATGAAATTTTAGAATATTTTGTAATCGAAATTATAATGATAATAATTCAATTTGAAAATAATTTGCACTAATAATAATAATAATTGTTTGTAGTTAGTATTTTTGTTTGATCACATTTTAAAGTCATTTACTACAGAAAAAAAGTAGAGAATGGATAACGTGATAGTCATTTAACAGTGAACAGTAACTAATAGGTTTGAGTGACAGAGTCAGTTAGTCAGTCGGTCAGATGCAACGTAGAACTTCGTACGTCAGTACATCAGTTCATGTTGACATACCACATTATTAGCACACAGAGATGTAATTGTCAATTCAAATCCAATAGTAGTAGAAGAGGTAGTAAAGGTATTATAGAAGTAATTGGAGAGGTTAGGAAGTATGATTTAGTGACAAAAGTTTAGAAAGACAAAGGTAGAGGTGTTGAAGAATCCAGATTAGGATTTGGATTTGAGAGAACATAAAGAATTTAATGCACCGGCGCCATTGCGAACTAAATAGTCTCACTCACATTTGTGTATTAGGAGGTGTAGGAAGGATTTGATTTTGACCAATTTGGTCTCGTGTGCTGTTACGGGTATGAGGGCGGTTATCACTTCCCGGCTGCCCACACCATGGAAGGTTGTTTCTTGAGGAACCTGAAAAGGAAGGTAGATTAGCGTTGGCCTTAACGACCTGGGAGCGTGACCGCAGAGCTAAAGGGACAACTGCTTGAGGCCGGTCACGCACGGCTTTTTTATGAAAGGTTTTTTGAGTATTAGCTCCGCTCTTAAAAGCCCTTAGTGGGCACTCTTACCGACGGAGACGGAAATCCGTGAGGTAGGGTAAGGTGTGACATTTCTAGGGTCGACCTTTTCTAACTCCTTCCTCCCTTGTGAGAGAGAAGGCAGCATCGTTGCAGATGCTGGTTTCCTGAGGGAAACACGTTACTGCCGTCACACCCCTCTGCAGTCAGCAGTACGACTTCACCCTCAGACCTTGGGTAGCTGCTTTTAGTCTCATCGTTCTCCAATCGACCAGCCTGGCATGATAGAACCTTCAGGAACATATGTTCCAGCCAGTATAGCTCGGTTGGGTTATCACGATAGGCAAGCCCGACCACCACGTCAAGGTAGCAGCTACGGTCGGGTTGAGTGACATAAAGAGAGAGAGAGAGAGAGAGACAGAGTAAATATCAATGATTCTTTGATGTGATAGGCACATCGAGATGAAACTGGATAAAATGTGCTTGTTGGATTTCATTGCTAACCATATTTTCTTTATAGTAAATCATAAACACAGTTGGGATATTTGTTTGTCAATTAGTTCGTTCGTTGTAATTTTGAATCCTTCAAATTTATTATAGGGTTTAAGGTAAAATTGGTTTAACTAACGCATTGTATACCTTTAACAGATAATCTATAGCTTAGGGAGTAATAGTTCAAAAAATGTATAACAATGATTAGATGTAATATTAATATCATGAATTAAATAATGTTCGACCACCATTAAAAACATGGAAGCACTGAGAGACAGCCATTTCGTCCTGGTATGGGACTCATCAGTAATGCGCATCCACGACTCCTGCTACTTTGCGGGAATCGAACCCAGGACCTTCGGTCTATGGAGGACTGAGACGGTATCCAACAGTGTTAATGTCTAACTCGCACAACCTCATTAATTTTCCTCGTTAGTTACTGCCGACACCTGACAGGATGTAGCTCTACTGGTCACTAGAACTCTGAGAAGATCTTAGGTTCGAATTGTGGATGCGTACTGTTGAGGAGTCCTAATACCAGGACGACGCAGCCGTCTAGTGCTTCTTCCAGATTTCTAATGATGGTCTAACCATGACGCATTCATGGTTTCAATATGTGCAAAATTACAATATATAACAACATACCTTGTTACAATTGGATCAGCAGCATGATTAGGACCCCAACGACCAAGGACACCACGTCCAGTTATTCCTGTACGTCCACAAGGATTTAATGGTAATCCATCAGTGCTGAATTTATACGGACCCATAAAACTTGTTCTATCAAGTACTCCATCAATTTTATTAAATTGAATTGATTCAAATTTTTTATCACTAATAATAATAAATATACAACGAATGATTACTGCATTCAAGAGAAAAACTTTTACATTTCATAGTATGGAACAGATAAAAGAATATGAATAACATTTCTGATTAAAAAAAGGTAACATTTAAAATGAACAACGGATATGAAGGCGGATGTCACTTATCGGCTGTTCACACACCATGGAAGGGTGTTTCTTGAGAAACCTGAAAAGCAGGGTAGATTAGCGTTGGTCTTAGAGACCTAGAAGTATGACCGTAGAGCCCAAGGGACAACTGCTTCAGGCCGGTCATGCACGGCTTGTTTTATGAGTTTTTAAAGTATTAGCTTCGCTCTTGTTTAAAAAGCCTTACCGCCGGAGACGGAAGTCCGTGAGGTAAGGTGTGACATTTTTAGAGTCGACATTTTCTAACTCCTTCCTTCCTTGTGAGAAGGTGGCATCGCTGCAGATGTTAGTTATCCGAGTGAAACTCCTTACTGCTGACACACTCCTCTATAGTCAACAGTGTGACTTCACCATATATATATATATTAAGGATACTACCCCGTAACTCAGGTTTCATACTGTCCAAAAATGAAAATTTCACTATTGCAAAATCATAACGCGACATGAGACAAAGGGTATTAAGAGTTTTTGAGCTCATTTTCATCAAGCTGGACTGCATCTCTTGCTATCCTATGCCATACTATGTGTATACCATATGATATAATGTTATATAGAGCTGAAGGTTTCCTATGAGACCAGAGGTTCGCTGTGAACATTGTGAATGGCTTGGCATTGCTTTGGTAAGCATTGTTAACAGTCCATATACAAAATTAGTTAGCAGGGTGACCGATTTCATTGAAACAACTGGTGGTTGTTTTGCAACATTTCCGAGAGTCATTGTCATTGGGGTGCTGTATTGCATATCATCACTGTTAATAATAATGAGTTTGACAGTCATGTAAGCGGGATGGGTCGAAATGGCCTGTTCATGCGGTGCATATTGATTGACGCGATCATTGATCGGAAATATATATATATACCAGTGTGTGCATACAAATGGTGTGAATGGTCCACCACGGTGTGGGGTGGTTGCACCACGGGATTAAGCTGAACTGCTCACGTTGAAATGGTAAAACGTGTACAGTCTCTTTGGTTCTCCGGAAAACCACCAATGTAAAATTGCCCCCTTGACAATACAGGGTAAATTTATATAATTGTGAATAAACTGATTGATCCTGCCGGTAGTCATATGCTTGTCTCAGAGATTAAGCCATGCATGTCTAAGTACATACCTTAATACGGTGAAACCGCGAATGGCTTATTAAATCAGCTATGGTTCCTTAGATCATAAACGCTACATGGATAAGTGTAGTAATTCTCTAGTGCTAATACATGCCTTGAATCCCTGACCCGTAAGGGGATGGGTGCATTTATTAGAACAGAACCAACCGGGTGCGGCTTCGGCTGTGTCTGTTACATTCTGTGATGACTCTGGATAACTTTTCTGATCGCAGTCGGCCTTGTGTCGGCGACGAATCCTTCAAATGTCTGCTCTATCAATTTGTTAGGGGTATTTGTATGGCGATTTTAGAGGTGAAATGCTAGGATCGCCGCCAGGCCAACTACAGCGAGAACATTTGCCAAGAATGTTTTCCTTTGAAATGTTTGATCATGCTATCATCAACTATAAATAAAGTAATCAAAGTTTTCATCCCATATCAAGTACAGCGAGATAAAACTGACAAAAAGAAGATACTCAACTGATTATCTGGATCAGCCCATGGTTTTTTAGCTATTCCTGGAGCTGTATACACAACCGGTTGATATTCATTCCATGGAAGATCCCAACTAACTTTATCATCTGGAACAGGATATCTTTGTACATCGGAAGTTCGAGGATATAGAGAATTTCTACATTTTACATGAAAATTGTTCATAGCTGTAGAGGTGATGGTTTGAAATGTATTTTTGACAATCTGAAAAATAAGTCTACATTAAGAAAAAAATACATTATCAGTTACACTAATATTGTGAATAAGAAAAGCACCAAACAAACACTAAATCTCTTATGAACAAGAAAGAAAAACATTTGATTTACAGAATCAATTTGGTATAGAATTCGGCTATTGAAGTTAGGAGAATGACAAGGTCATAAAAAAACTAGTGATTGGGAAACCATAAGGTTTAGCTTCAATGCAACAATGCAAGCATGTTTGGGATGCGGTTTTCCCCCTCAAAATGCAAAATGTTGCTTCAAGACTGGGTTGCATCGTTACCTGAACTAGTGATAGGGAGTGAAGTAGTTGAGCGTGTTAACCGCTTCACTTATCTGGGGAGTCTCATCAGTGCCGATAGCCTGGTGACTGACGAAATCTCAGCACGGATACAGAAGGCTCGATTGGCTTTTGCCAACCTGCGTCACTTATGGCGTAGGCGTGATATCCGTTCGCTAACCAAAGGACGAGTGTACTGTGCAGTAGTTTGCTCCGTTCTTCTATATGGCTGTGAAACATGGCCGTTAAGAGTAGATGTTCGTAGGTTGCTAGTATTCGATCATAGATGTCTTAGGAGCATTGCTCGTATATCGTGGGACAACCGAGTAAGCAATGCTGTTGTTAGGAAATGGGTGCTGGGTAAGGTCGGCATATCGATAGATGAAGTAATGAAACTTCATCAGTTGAGGTGGTTGGGATATGTGTTACGAATGCCTAACCACCGACTGCCTCGACGAGCTATGTTTTGTGGTGTAGGAGTAGGTTGGAAGAAAGTTAGGGGCGGCCAAACCAAAACATGGCACAAATCCATGAAGTCACTGACAAGTGGACTTGGTCATATTGGTAGATGTAGACTACCTGGTTGGGGTCCGCGGGACGAAAGTCACCTATGGTTAGAGACCTTGAACAACATAGTTCAAAATCGTTTGCAATGGCGCAAGTGCATCCATTCTTTGAGCTCTCTCAAATTCTAATCTTCTGGATTCGTCAGCACCTCTACCTTTCTCCTTCTAAATTTATCTTACTGAATTATACTTCTTCAATAATAATATCTTCAAACCTAGTCTTCTTCATCCGTTAATACCTCTACTATGTTTATCACTATGGGATTTGATTTGACATTTGCGTCTCTATGTGCTAATAATGTGGTATGGCAACATGAACTTATGTACATACGTACGAAGTTCGACGTTGCAATTGACTGACTGAGTGACTGAAGATTTAGCTTCTAAACATGAATAAGATTTTGAGCGACTGTCTTGGTTCAAGTTCCTACACACACGCACACACACACACACAAAGAAAATGAACAAAATAATCATCAATGCCAAGGAACTAATCTGAAATGTGATGGAGAAGTAAGCATCAGAAATACAACTTCAGAAGAGTGGCAGAGAATAAAGGGTAACAAAATATGAATGATATTATGAAGTTTTTAGTTATTTGACCCCACATGAAATATGCTTTAGTCTGATCTATGTCCTGCTAACAGATACTTAACTGAAGATTCATAGGAAGACAGAGAATAAACATATTTGGACAATAGTGACTGACTCTGAGCAGTATCACTCAATGTCCTCAATCACTGTTTACGAGTACTGTCAACCAACCACTAAGAACTCACCTACGAAATGGCTCAAACTTTCGATGATTTTATGAACTAATACTTAGGCTGATCTGTAGGCACTGCAATAACTTTTGTAATTTAATTTTTATTTCTCGTGGCAACACAAAGAATAAGCTTGATGATCTATGCTGTATGCTGTAAAAAAATACAATTCTCATGCAAAGTCAGGTTTTA